TCTGTGAAAATTTCACTTGAAACAAGCCAAATCCATTGCTGGCCAATTGTGAATGGAAGTGAGACACAGAGGACTCTTTGAGGTTATATTCCGAACCATATCACTACTGATTCTCAACATAACAGCATAGCTTCAAGAAATGAACATGAATTCTATGTCATGTGCATTCCACAAAACATCAAAGATATTGGGGCAAAACTGATTCATCAAATAATGCAAAGTGAGGTTATTGTGTCAGATTTTGCTTCAAGTGACATGCAGCTCAAGGGATGTGGAGTTTATGAAGAAGTTGATGAAATAAGCAGAGGTGTTTCTTAAATGCTTTTGGATATTAACAATCCATTTTTATGTTTCATGACACACAATACGAATGGCTGCTTGGGGAAAACTAAAAACATGTCGTAATTTCTGCAACCTCAAGGGAATGTCAGTAAGCAAAATCATCCCTTGGAATGGACAATTTAACTACATATCTCTGACATCCAATGAAACCTACAGAAAGATTTTCAGAAGACACACAAGGAATCTGGAAATGTAAGAAGTTTAATGAGATCATGGCATAACAAATCAATGTAGTCTTGTTTAGACAGTTAACTAATGTCACAAGGAACGGAACTGCCATTATGCTGAGAAAGGAGGCAGGTTCCATAAGTATGAGTACAATGCTTTCCTGCAAGTCCACACAGACAAACACATTTTGCAAACTGCAAATTAGGACAAAACACTTTACTAAGGAAATGTGCAAGGAAAATAAAACATGAAGTCTGTATTAAGTTTTAATTTATAATATTGATAAACTTAAAACTAAATATATATTAATACAATATAAATTATATTTAATTTAAATAATTCTACAATTGTCTATTTGCAGTTGACACAAACACTGGTAATTATCTTTGGCTTGTCAATTTTTTTCCTTGGCTATAGATCCTAAAGAAAGAAAAACAAGTGTCAAGGTGATCACACAAATTTTACTGCTTTGCTGCAGTTAGTGAACAAAAGAAAACTAATGCACCTGATTTATGATACATAATTTCCAAACTTCACTATATAAGAATTAACAAAACTGGATCCACAGAGCAAGAGAGATCTCATAAAGTGGCAGTGATGACTGGTATTCAGGAAAGAGGAGAAGTGTAGTGTGTATCACTGAGCAAGATTTTATAGGTGATTATAATGAATTGGTAGGGGCTGGAAGGAAACCAGTGCAGTGCATCTTTTAAACTCTGTATCATCCAGGAATATGGAATTCAAATCTCTCACTGCTATGGGTTCTGACACGCAGACTGTAACCCGAGAATAATAAATAGTATTTACAGTGGAAAAATCAACAGCTAGGCCTACTGGAATGCATGCATGTCTGACAAAGGTCTACGTGCATCCTCACAACTGCCTGGATGAACTGAGAACCTTGGTCAGTGTGATTAGCACCAGAAAAGGAACCTACCAAAAGTAAGATATGTTACAGCAAGTGTCACGTAACTTCGAACAAGGCCAAGAGTAACCTTGAATGCGCAGAAGAAAATTTTCAGACAAGGGGGTGGGTTCGAGGGTGAGAAGTGACAGGCGGCCAGTTGTGCAAACAACTGCACATTCAAGGTTACTCTTGGCCTTGTTCAAAGTTACATGACACTTGCTTTACTGCTGTGCCAATCCAGTAGGAGAAGTGAAGGGTCAGGTTTCAGCAGTGACGGTACCAAAGGACAGCATAAGGTAAAGTTGTGGTGGTGTGGAAGATATGATTAATTGCTTACTTGCTTTAAAGTGGACTTAGCTGCAATGCTTATTCACAACTTCAACAAACTTTAACTTTACGTAAAATAGTGGCAGTAGCAACTTAGCATATCTTGCTTGTGGGGTATGGGTGATGGTACTTAGAATCATATAAAGCCAGGGAGGTAAAATGTAAATTAGTTCAGTAAATATGAACATTCTAACTTGCTTAACCTTGAGTTACAACTTTGGTACACACAGTAGATCATAAGCTTTCACTTGCTGAGATAAATGACTACACATTCTATAAAACATGAAACAGATCCAGAAATTCATAGTGGAGTACAGTTTCCAAATCTGTTTTTTGCACCTTGGCATTCTGAATGCTCCTCCTTGTTATGAATGATTTTGATTAACATGTTAACAATGTTCATCTCTAAGATTCCAGTCAGTATATCACACTTCGGATTAGTGATTTTCTGGACTTTGTCCTTTATTTAGTCTTTGGAAAGAATTACGTTTTAGAAACTGGATGTTTCAAGTGATTCAGACAACCTCTCTCTAACAGACCCGACTGAGTACGTGCCTCCTCGCCTTTTCGTGTGAGAACAACCATTATGTTTTCAGAAAACTGTATTCTTTCACATTACTAGAAGATGGACAAAGTCAAGCAACTCAGCAAACCTAAGATTAACAACAGTAATTACAGTTTTATATTCAGTTCTTAAAAAACCAGAAGATGTTTCCAATGTCATGGTCATATTTCTGTCACATACTTAATTTTATGTTAAGTTTCTTTATTCATCATCCTATTACATATCATGTTAACTTTTAATAATAATATGCTGTACAATGTTGAGACAATTCCTCTCCATAAGCTACAGTGGAGTGTATGTACATTTCTTAAAGCTTAAAAAAATTCAGTGCTTCTAGTTGTCCCACAAGCTTTTCTCTTTGTAAAATCAACCAACTCAGTACATGCACTATATACAATACCATACATAATGTACATTTCTTATACTCCAAAAATTCTAATATGGTTAATATCATTAGCTGGAGATAAAACACAACACACTTTAAAGCAAGTGACACTTGTACTGTTGTCATCTCATGATCTGTGTCTGCTATGTCGTACTTAATGTATAAAATTAAATGATACAAGTTTCGGGGTGTTCCAGTGACAACTTTCATATCACCCATCCAGTGACTGATTTCAGACATGTGGACGCGCAGGGACAGGCATGACTCCTCTTAAGTGAATATGTTTTTAATAACGCAAATACGCAATGCATTTCAGTTTTTCACTCATTATTCTACCATACGCATTGCAAATCCTTTTGTGTTCTATGTTTGATCACACTGCCTAGAAACAAGACCTGTCCATGCTGTCTGGTGTGCCAATATATTTTTATATTTACTCCCACAGTGCTTATATGTGAGTACTGTCCTAAAAGTATAATGCATAAAAATCTTGTGACCAACAGGATTTATGATTCAGTGAAATGTGACTTTCTGTGCTCTTAATTAACTCTGCAATAAATTCAAATCATGGGCAATGAAAGATAACAAAGCCAAAATGAAGGCATTTGGAAATTGTATTTTGCCAACTGAAGTCAACCTTCTGCACTTCAGTTATAGTTTCTTTCAAATGCATGTGATTCATTACAGAAATTTCCTTGCTGGCTCCTGATTTCATAAACTTAAAGTTCACTGAAACACATTTTTGTCAATTCCTCTCATCACAAATCACATTACCAAATGGAAGAAGCTAGAAGAGGCTGCGGAAAAGTCGCATTATAATATGAACCCATAGTGGAGCGTACTTCCTGTCGGGTTTTGACAGTGTTTCACTATTGAATGGACTGCCTGAGGCAAACAGTCGTTCTCTCTCCTCCAAAAGACTCTGCTGTAGCTGTGGATTCTTAGTCACAATTGCTATTTGTGTTTCCAAGTCTCGACCTACAGACCGATATCCTGTTGAAGATAAAAATGTACTGAGTCCCATAATGAAACCTATTATAAACTTGTCTGCTAGAACCAAAGAAAATTTATTTAAATGGTGCAGATAAGAATTATTTGCAATGTGACACATTTTGCTACCTACACAGCACATGATGGTCATACCTGCTAACTCCCAGATATAAAAATTATGGGGAAATTTTCATCAAATCTTTGTCACAAGATTGTTTTCAAGACATCAACCACAATTACATTTGTGACCCACTGCTTATCTACAGATTAAAACAGCACCACCAACTGACTACTGCTGCTTTCTGGAAGTTACCATTGTTGTTTTAGTCCTTAAGAAATTTTGTGTTTTGTTGATTTTACCACGAACAATTCCTTCACTGTTTTAGAGATATGATCTGAACTGTGTTCTAGTTTTTGCCATTAAAGGTAAAAAGGTAAAGTTGTCCCTGTGCTAAACAAATTAAGCACTACGCCATTAAGGCGTATGGGGGAGTGGATGTATAGATCCATATTTTCTTGACCTCGGCACTAGCTGGATGTGAGTGGTCAGCTTCACACCCTTGCCGCTTTACCCCCAGGGAAAGAGCCCCCGGTATCCAGTGGATAGGAGGTTGGGTGGACCCCAGAGCCGGTCTTGACGATTTGGAGAGGAGAAAATTCTGATCCTACTGGGACTCAAAACTCCAACCCCTCAGTTGTCCAGCCCATAGACAGTCGATATACCGACTATGCTACCGTGGCTCCATAGTTTTTGCCATTAGATTAAATATTCTGTCACACTCTACATTGCTGTGAGGTACTGTTAAATTGGCATCAATCTTTACTTTTAAATCCCATCAGGAGCTCTCATTTTACCAGCCACAGCCCCCTGTACATCAATTCTTTCTTTAATTTCAGGTTCTTCAGATAGGCCTCAAGCGGAAATGTATAAAACTGAGACTGTGTTGAGTCCAATTCTTCATTTAAATCTCATCCTGTTATATTCAAATCCCTGAAAATGTTTCACAGAAAGTGTCTTGCTTACTGATGAGACACTGGCTATTTCAGCACTTATTAAAGCTTCATTTTTCACTGGGATCTTGTAAATCATATAGCCACATGTCACAATGTCAGCACTGCAACTGCTAATTATCATAATGAGGAAGCAAGTATCGATTAAAACAAATATAATTTTTTCAGATGGCTAGAAGGCCTGTGACTGAAGTACTCTGTGAATTCAACTATCCAAAGCACAATCAATATGTAATATAATTCATTCGTGACCACTGAAAAATTAACTTGAGTGAATGTGTTACTATGTTGAATGTACTTACCAAAATTAGGAGAGCCAATGAAGGTCAGTGTGGGCAAGTGATGACCTGGCAAAGTATACCACAATCCCTTTGCATGATAAGTCCATCCCGGTTTTTGGAATTCTGCCATCTGAATGCGGTTTTCCTGTCCAGCTCTTTGCACTTGTTTAAAGAATTCTGATGCCACCAATGTGTACCCTGCTGGGATTCCACCTGCAGGGCCCTGTGCACCAAGGAAGCCGTTTGCCTGTCCACATTACACAGAGAAATCAGCAGAAGCAAACCTGTTCTTTCTAATAACTGGAAGATATATAAACATTTCATTATTAGCTGTTTATAAAATTAAGGCAGATCACCATTCTCATCCTTTACCAACTTCTGTGTTAGTAACCCTTCTTAAATTAATTTATTCCTGTATATGTCTCTAATGTTTTTGTTCTTAGTGTGCTGTTGCAAGCTTCATGTATTACATCACTCAGATTATCCCCATTTATTTGGCTTGGATCCTGTAATTATTGCAGGGCAGGGCCACAGTGGGCTGGCTTGTTGATCTGCCTTGCATCGGCAGCCAGGTGACTGTGAGCCAGCTGGTCTTCCTTGTGTCGGCAGCCGGGTGACTGCGAACTGGTTGGTCTTCCTTCTGTCAGCAGCCGGGTGACTGTGAACTGGTTGGTCTTCCTTGTGTCGGCAGCCGGGTGACTGTGGAGCCAGCTGGTCTTCCTTCTGTCAGCAGCCGACTGACTGTGAGCCAGCTGGTCGACTGTGAACTGGTTGGTCTTCCTTGTGTTGGCAGCCGGCTGACTGTGAACTGGTTGGTCTTCCTTGTGTCAGCAGCCGAGTGACTGTGAGCCAGCTGGTCTTCCTTGTGTCGGCAGCCGGGTGACTGTGAACTGGTTCGTTTTCCTTCCATCGGCAGCTGAGTGACTGTGAGCTGGCCACAGGGCAGTAAGTGCTGGTGGTGGACTTTTGTGTGTTCCAGATGAGCTGTCCTGAGGTAAGAGCTCCTCCGACTGACTCGTTAGTGTGTCGGAGTTTTGCATCTTTATATGCTGTCACTAGTGACACCTGACCCAATGGGCACTGGCCCAGGATACCCATTACTGAATACATTAGTATTTTGCTGTAGAACCATTACACATGCCATAACTTGGCCTGAAACATGTCATGTTTGATAGACTTTGCATGTAGAGCTCATTTCCAAAGTCCTTGGGAAAAGTTTCAGGTTTTATGGTGATGGGTGTTCAGAATGGCAGGCACAGAAACCAAACTAACATGACGTTTAGGACCAATCCCCTTCACCACCCATTGTAATACTCACAGTGGGGTGTGCCATGAGAATGCTGTATGCAGCAGCAGGGTGACTGACTATCGACAGAGTGTAATCCTGTGTCAGGTTGAAGTAGCCTGTGGCAAGATGTATCATGGAACCTGGTAAAGCAGTCTCAAACAGCCGTTTTGTGACGCGGCTGTCATGATGGAATCCCAGTTGCCCCATTTCCACAAGTGGGAAAATCCATGTATCTCCTGCACCTGCAAAAAATTGATATCACTATATTAATATAGTTTTTCTCTAGGTTTCCTGTTTGAATTTGATTTTAGGACAGTGAAGACACACTCCTTTGGGAACATCAAACATAATATGACTAACACTCAGCTAACACCTTGGCGGCAGACGTCAAAGTTCAGCATTATTAATACCAAACCTTGTTACAACTACAAGTCCAAGCCAGTTCCACCCACCTTCCATCCCCACAACTGATCTCACTAAGATTCATTTTAATGTTATCCTACTATCTCCTCCAAGACTGCATACTGAGGAGCAACTTGATCAAGTCGAGGAGGATGAGATGGGCAAGGCATGTAGAACGAATGACTGCAAAGAGGAATGCATATAGGATATAAGTGGAAAGCCAGAAACCATTAGGAAGACAAAGATGTTGGTTGATGGATAATACTGAAATGGATCTTAGGGACAGTGGGGGGGCTTCTGCGAATATGGTAATGAACCTTTGGGTTTAATAGAATGCTGGGAAGTTCCTGACCAGCTGCGTGACTGGCGGCTTCTCAAGAAGTGCTCAGCTCCATGAAGTTGGTCAGTTTGTTACTATCTCCTCCTCAGCCGTGCAATTGGATTTTCTGTGAGAATTGTATCCCACAAAAATTATATACATATTCTTTGAGGTGAATGAATATAATTTTTTCAAGAAAGGCATGGAACTATGGAGTTAGCTAGTTAATATTTTCCTGAGTTTAATTTTAAAATTGACTCTCGTCAGCAGATATAACACCCTTTATTTACCACAAATAGTGAATTTTATATCTCTGGGTACAAGTAAGGGAGTGGCAGCAAGATTTTAACCTGGATGAATAACTTATCATTTACAGATAGGAGATTCCAAATCTCTCACTACAACAGGCCTGGCAGTCATGTATATTTCACTGTGGAGATAATGTGATTATTACTGAACAAGACTGGAAAGGGTGTATTCCATGATGTAGTACATAAAATTACCAGTATATTATGTTACAAATGGGAATAATGAAATACTAGTGAAAGTCCCCCAAATCAAATTTTAACAGTGCATGTGAAACAGTGTATGGGACACATGGAAAACGCAATTTGTCGTGTTATGTAACCCAGGCTTTATTATGGATTAGTATAAGTGAAAATAAGAACTGCATCTCCTATATAAAATGTCAACAATCTGAAATATTTTATGGGACACATGCATANTTGCCTGCCCTCATATATTTTCACAACACCATTTAAAAAGTATTTAAAAAGTCCATATTTGTCAATTATGATAAATTTACACTCATTAAAACTTGTTAAGATAATTCATCTTATTTGTCTTAATTAAAACTTGCATGTGGTTCGTTCACTACGGGGTCGTTTTTCTTATTTTCTGTGTAAACCGTGTCTTGTGATGTGTGTTCCCTTCTTAGCTGCGAGCGTTGTAATCAACAATCTTATGAGAGCCTCCCACATAAAATTTCCATGGTTATACATTTGTGAAAGAGTGTATGGGATAAACAGAAGAGTCCGTTTGTGGCTTTATGTAAGCAGGATTTATTATGGATGAATATGGTTGTAAATCACAACTGCCTGACAACTTTTAGTTATAGTGTACCATATCAAATTTGAAGAACATCTGTCCAATGCTTTAGGTGCTCATACTATGTCATGGAATGGCATTCATCAATTCCACATAAGGCATTCTTTCTTACTGTGTAAGGAATGCCTAAATGCTACACTATAGCATGAGCTGTTGCAGTAATGTAACGCACAGACAGTAAAAGTTGAATGAGAATACCCCTATCACCATATTATGATTACAGACTTGCCAAAACTCTGTTGCTGTGACGTAGCTGACTGGTAGAGACCCCAAACTCTGTCTCTTGCTGCAGACTCAAATTCTTCTCTCTTCCCTTTGTATGGGTGGCATTTCCAATTGGAATGGAGCTGTACTTGGCCACCTTTGCTTAGCTGAAGTGAGAATTCACTAACCCGAGACACCAGACCATCATAGAAGTCTGCCAGAGGACCACAATCTTCTATCAGCACATAACGATCTTGACGATTTGTGAAGTAATCATTACTCAGGTTTGCCCTATAGCATAAAATATACTGATTCCACTCACATGTGTAAGTGAAAATTATACCTATATTTCTTTTTGCAAGGAAATAGGAAATTTTATATGCATCATTGATCCACAGCTTATTTAATGATACTTTTAGTGGTTTCATGTCAGTCAATGGTTAATTTTTTTTTGTGCTTGCAGTAAGTGCTTCAATGATGCAGCACTTTATTTGTCAATATGTGTGATAAATTTATGGATATGGAGAAAGTGGCCACTTACATTTACAGAATGTTGAAACAAGTTTATAGAAAGAGAAAATGAGGCAGTTAAGCCATTTAAAAATGTAAGGGATGTAATGTAGATGATAAAAGATCTGGTAACATGAAAACTTCTAGAACTGATCCAAATGTAGAAAAAGTAGCTGAAATGGAGATAAATGATATCAGTTCGTAGTTCAGATAACAACTGAAGGGATGAACATGGAGAGTCTGTGCCAAAATACTATTAAGAATATCAGCAATGAACAAAAGCATGAAAAAATATTTCTCTAGCCCTTCAGAAGGCTGTTTGAAAGAATTCCAACTTCAGAAAAAAACAGCGACTTATGTCTGATATTTTGATCTCCCAACATAATCCTAAAACAAAATGTCACTGTCTCCAAAGGACATGTCCAGAGCTATTAGAAAATCAAAGGACTAGGCTGATCTGCTTTTTAACATCAATGGAATTATCCACTAGGAATATGTCAGACAAAACAACCCAGTGTTCTACTTTCAGATTTTAAGAACACATTCATAGAGACCAAATCTCCTTAAATGGTTTCATTTTGAATCACTTGAAAATATTTAGAGCAATGTGATAGCAGTAATGAAAGGGCTTTTGGAAAATAATTTCTGGTTATGTTCCAGGTGGGCAGAAATGATGGAATGCATGCATAAAGTCAGACAGTGAGAGTGGTCTCAAGTGACCAAGGTCAATTACAGTTAGTGGCAACATATTCTTCTGCAGTATCGGTCCTATATTGGCCAGAAATCATAAAATACAAGCATAAAAGGTATATAAATCTGTAAACAGCAAGAGGTGCAGTAAGGACACTGTTACATGTTAGTGACCTAGACATGTTGTCTGAACTGGTAACTGGATTCACTGAACAGTTATAAATCATAACTACATGTAATTATAGCACTAACACTATTCATGCACTCAACTTCACACAATAAGTATTCTCAGTTTGTCTTCACTAGCCGTTGTTAGGTTATGGCCCCCAACAATGTAGATTCCTCAGCTTCTGTGTTCATGTCCATACCGGCTGACAACTGTCTCACAGCTAACTCATTAGTTTAGCTGTTTAATCTCAACCAAAATGTGGCATCATTATCCATCACTGACTCTCATGGTTCTTATTGGCAACTCCTGATAGTAACTTGCTATATAGCCTCAGGTCAGACAAAATACAGAACACAATTTCTAATAGTTCCTTCACTGTTACGTGTTTACTAGTAACGCAAAAAACTTGAGTTGTTACTGAGCAATGGCTGTCTTTGTCAGTCATCATATTACAATATAAAGTTTTTAATTTAACTTCAAGTGAGAAACTCAACACTCTTTTTTCTGTTAAAGCTTAACAGTCACAACCCTCTTGCCACATATGAATACAGGCACTTTTCTGTGTAGAAAATATTCATGCATGCATCTGTCTATATATGTACGTATACATATATATAAATAAATAACTCACCCACTAATGAGTAGTGAATTGTCAAACAGGTAAACTTTCATGTGTTGTAGACCAATCACTTCATTGTAACGTTGTGGCATAAGGGTGCGCAATATCCCACGCAGAGCTGGTGTATGATAAAGGGACACCTGTAGAAGTCCACAGTTATAATGTCTTGAGGTGATTATTACTGACATCTGAACTTTAGGAGAATTATACATGCTCAAGGTGTAGGAGAAAGGAGGGTATCACATTTTTTCACTGCTAAACACAATTCCTTAATAGTGGTTGGCATCAATGAGACGAGACAGCTCAATCAGGGTAGTGACTGGCTATTAGACAGATGATCAGGATTCATGTCCAAGCAGTCGGGGAGACTTCTCTTTTCCGTTACATTCAGATGGGTTTTGGGGTTCACTCAGTGTATCAAAATAGAGAGGAGCAGCACTGTTTCTTCAGGGGTAAAGCATAATAGTAACCACTCACATCTACAAAGGTTAAGAATTCATGAAACTACGCCTCCAACTCACAGGCACGCAGTAGTGTAGTTGCTTGAGGCACTATGCTACTAGCCGAAAGGTTGTGGGTTCGATTCCTGATGAGGTCATTAGATTTTTTTGACTGACCTAATCCTTCCAGCCGCATTATGGCCCTGGAGTTGACTCAGCCTCTAACAGAAATGAGTACACAAAACTTTCCTGGGGTAAAGGGCAGTTGGCGAACAAGGCTGACAACTTCAATGCCATCTGTGAACCAATTGTCTAGAAAATGTGGGAGCCTTGACGTCTCAGAACCCTATGGGCCTCCAAGGCCTGTTACAGGGATAGTTTTACTCAGAAAATGTGTATCTAAACATCCACTCCCCCCATACGCCTTCATGACATAATGCTTAATTAGTTAAGTACAGGGACAACTTTACATTTTACATCTCAAACTCATGTATGTCTTCCTGAAGTGATGCTTCATTAGGGTCAGGACTGAATTTAAAACCATTCAAATACCAGTCTTCTAAGGTGATCACCAGGGCCTGGATTTTGATGACATGTCATCTTTTTTTCCTTGTATCCTATGCAATGCTCTTACATATATAAATCTTGGATATGAGCTGCTGGTTACAGAAATGTAAATTTTATAAGTAATTTTTTGTCATTTTTAGGTTTAAGGTCATTTCTTCATTTTTGGGGTAATTTTTTGGTAAATTTTTGGCCATTTTAGGGAATTTTTCTTCATATGTTTTCTGAAATGTGAATAACATGGAAGCGAAGTGTTCTTTCTTTCTCTTTCTCCTTTAAGTCATTTTTCTGGATTTTTTAAAATATTTTCAGGTCATCAAAATCCGAGCCCTGCATATTACAATTTTGGGCCATATTTTAGGTTATTTTTCTGGATTTTTTCGGTCATTTTTTAAATATTTTCAGGTCATCAAAATCTGGGCCCTGGTGATCACTAACCACTGGAGTATCATTCCTATGGGAGGCACACAACCTAGAAACCTCTGCTGACAACATACCCTACAATGTATATTTACCTTTTCCTCACATTTCTCCTACACTAAGCCTTATGAGAAGAAAGTTATGTAACTGCGCAATGAAAACCTAACATTACACACAAAAAGTTGAAAGTAAGAAACACTAAGCGAAAATGATCCTGAAGATTTAATCCCATTCCGATCTGACCAAAATGAATTATGAATTATATGTCAGGGTCTACCTGACATAGATCCTGGTACTGAGCAAGAAGGGGCTGCAGCATGCGACAGGAGTTGTGTTCACCTCTTGTGCCTCTTGTGTAGTCTAGCAAAACTTTCACTTTCAGCTGACCCCTGGATGTTCTCAGGTTCTCACCAATGGCAGCAACCTGTGTGAAGATTCATATTATAGAGTTGCTATAGTGATAATTCAAGCCATGTACAATGCGATTATTTCTCAACCTGCGTACAGTGATCATTTGTGAAGTTACTATACAGGGTGATAATCTCACAGTCAGCAGCAAATCACCAAGTTCCCCAAGCAGAAGAATTAACAAGCCTACAGACCAACAAATCACAAAACAAAAGCCACCCAGATTATAGCAGATACCAGAAATACTCCACTGTTATACACATTCCTGGCTCTCCTTAATAAGGTCACATTCACACATGGAAGCACTTCAGAAATATGGGAAACTTGAAACTGTAAGCCCTGTTGCCCTGTGCAAGGTACCTAAGGGATATCTGAGGCGAATGTTCAAGGGTAGCATAGATTTCATCCAATTTATTTTCAGTAATCACTTGGTGTTTGAATTTTACTCCTCGCTGTCAAATAATATCCTGTTTATCTTTATTTGTGACTGTATATATGTTGAACTGTGCCGGTCATGGTAGCCAAGCGGTCTAAGGCATGCACTGTCTTCGCTTGCTCGGAAGCTTGGATCGTGGGTTCGAATCCCACTCAGGGCATGGATGTTTTGTGTGTTTTTCTGTGTTTGTCTACAGGTAGAGGCCTTGCGACGAGCTGATCACTTGCCCAAGGAGTCCTACGGCCTGTGTAAGATCTAGAAAAACCGAAGTGAATGGAAGTTCATGGAGGTAGGCCTGGGCCCACTGGGGCTGTAGTGCCAAGGAAAAAAAAAATATGTTGAACTGTAACATCCTGAAACATATGCCAGAATCTTCTATTTACTTTTCTTACACAACTTCCCACACAAATATTTTTCACCGGGCCAGCACATAAGGCATGAGATCACTTCATGGGGGTAGTTCAACAATTTATTGGACTGAAACTGAAGATAAACTGCAAAATGTATGTATGATTCTACTATACATCAAACATCTGCATGCTAACTTTAAGGGAGCAACATCTGTCTCTTCTGTGTAAGTAGCTCAGTGATTTAGAGGAAAACTCTTAGATGATTGCACTGTAGAAACAGAGTTCTGATTTGATTTCTGGCCCGGGGACTGGCCATACTGAGTATTATTTTCATGGTTTTACTCAAGTCCTCTAGGCAAATGGTAGGACATTATGTTAAAATAATCCATGATTATTTTTTTCATCATTAAAAATTTTCACCATCACTTTCCCCTTAAATGCTATACAGCCAATGTGTCTGGGGTGGGGGGAGGAAACTTTACTAAATCAATTAATAAACCAATTTACTGAAATTAACTACTTAATTAAGGTTATAAGGTTACTGAAAGAGTAATTTAAAGTTTCTGTGAAGAATGATGGATTTGAGCACCAAAGTGAGGAAAAGTCTTAAATGGAAGAGGATTTAACATTGGAATAATAAGGCCCTGACTTCATGATTTAAATTTCAGAAGAGAAGGGACCCAAAACCCGACAAATCTTAATGTGATATATGTTCAATCCTGAAATTACTGGATTCCAGATTCAGTACAGTACAGTCTCTTAGTTAACTATATATGTTCCCCTGAGTGTCCTCTTATAGGTGAAAGCTGGGGATGTTAACAACATGCACGGTATGTGTATGACCATGCATTGTAGCATGTTGGCTTGCGTGCTTTTGATTTCTGTTATTAACTAAGTTGCACCTGAAGTTGTCAACTATTTTTATGCTTATTTTATATTATATGACTAATCTATTGTTTTTGGTTGTTTTAATAAGTGAATTTTGGATGATAATTGTCTCTTTTATATGCATTCTAATTTGGCGCACTTGATTAATGGAATGAGTAATGAATGAACGTCTTAATGGAAATTTTAATGTGTATTATAAGTATTTACCTCATTTAAGTGCAATATTACTGTATTATTGTATAGATATTATGTATTCTAACTTGACTTGTTCCATATCCTATAGTGTCTCACCTGTACTGGATTTACAAAATGTAAATAAATTCAATTCAATTCAATTCAATTCATGAAAGCTTATACAACACAGAACAAAAAGACTTCCCACTGAATTCTCAACGCGTTTAATACTAGTGCTACATTAAACTTTTCTTAAATTATCCTAAGCCACTAGGTATTAATCCGCAACTTCAACTGTACTTTGAGATTAAGTCGTATCACTCTAATAAAGGATTATGATGCACACAAAATAAATTTTACACATTTCACAAGAATAATACAGTAATTTCTAGTGAATACTGGGAAATAGAAGTCTTTGTATGATTTGACACACTTTATTATTGTTTCTATATTTACATTCCTGTAATTTTCACTAACACGTTTATTCTGCATATATATAAAAATCAGATCTTTTTTTTCTCATCTTTTAAGAGAAGTATGAGTGTGCAAATTATGCCAGTTGTGCATGACTTCAGTAGTTCTTACCAATTGTTCCTCTAAGTGACCAGTTCCCAAATACAAAGATGCTAATGTTATCCTTTGCTTGGCTGTCTGGCACTTCTCCGCTACTGTCTTATAGAATATGCTGGGCTCATTTATGACAGAAATCTGAAAAAAAAAAAAAAATCACATGAAATGGAAAATGTTTAGGAGTATGAGAAGACTATATTCTCATTAAAATACAGTCCTATGGTACCATAAATCACAGTCTTGCTTCATGGAATCTCAATCAAATGCAAAGGGCTGAAAAAATCGGGGATTTTGTGTCAAGAAAGAACAGGCTCAGCACCTAAAAGGAGTTTAGTTCTTATCAACGAAATCGAAGACTTAAAGCTCACACACGAATAGGAAAATCATAGATGATATTACTGCTGCACATACTTATTTCCCATGATGCCACAATTCCATGCATCTGAGACGAGTGTTAGTCTCACCTCTTGTCTGTTCACCTTCCTGATGTAGTGCTAAGAAGTTTACCCTTATATTTTGCAATAGACAAATATAGTCTTTTAATTCCCTTCGCACGTCTGATAAGTAGCATTCAGGTAGTGTTCAGTTTTTGTGACTTTAACGGACAAATTGTTTAATACTGCCTCGCTTGGCAAATGCTTAAGATGAAAATAAATCTGGAAGTTCATGTGATATTGTGGCCAAGTTCCCTCGTGCTAGATTGTGTTGGAACTGCAAGTCCAATGAAAATGTGATGGCAACTGTAACATCTACATTCATGTTCTATCATGCCTTATACAGTGCTGCCAGCAAGTAACTAGTTAATAGCAGTAAAGTTTCTCACTTTGGTATAGTTCATTTTATTCAATTTTCACCAGTATTCAAACAGGATCAGCAAGTTAGCTCTGAATAGTTAAAAGTAATATTGACATGCATACAATGCAGTGAGTTGCTATGCTTTGCTCCTACAAACCTGACAGAAATTACAATATTAAATGTTATGTAAGTCAATTTAAATAATAAAAAAAAAATCATTACCTTATTTCCATCCAACGGGAAGCACGGGGAAAATGTATGTAGCCACATCAAGCCAAATTTATCGAATTCATCCGCTAATGACTTAGGTACATTTTGTTTTTCATTTGAAACCATAGTTTCCTGGAAATGGGGTATAATTTCTGGTTTTTGTAAAATTACACTTAACCGTCGAAACACTTCCATCTTAGATATCATCCCTAGTTTTACACCATTGCCGTCTGCAAACCTGCAACACATAAAACTCTTCAGGCGTAAGTGTACGGTCAACCTAACCTAACTCTAATCATCGAATACGAATAAATACAGTTTACAAACACAATACTAACAATTTGGGCCACTTCCAACCGTATTTCTTCATTTTTCTTGAGGTATACTAAACTATAAACCTTATTACTGGATTCACTACTTCGTGCGAAATAATAGGTATACTACCCATTTTGGTACAAAACCATCACCAACCGCAGTCTAAATGGTCTAAATGTCTAAATCGTTCTAATTGTTTCCGCACACATCTCTGGATCGCTGTGGAGGCTGTGGACCGTCTGTCTCTAGGTCTCTAGCGGCCTCTGGGTCACAACCGGTCGTCACAATGCCATGGAAAGTGAGCTAGATGAGTGAATGTGTCCCATACCCGGCAACAGTCACCTCAAACACGAAGTACCTTTAAGCAGCCTCAGGAACAGCAGACGTAGACGAAAAAATGTATGCGTTTCGGCAGACAGAAATCCAATTACGTTTGCGAGCTAAGAAGTGATGTGTGTTCAATTCGCCTTTTAGAATACAAAAAGTTGGCCCTTCTTACAGAATTTCGAACGTCAATTAACACGAATTTACTATAAAGCAAAGGATTCAAGCTGTCGAATGTGTATTTACTTCGCATATTTTAAAAGTAAAAAAGAAGTGTTTATTGCCAATAAGAAAAGTATTTAAAATATTTTGGAGATTTTTAGGATTTCAATCCTTATTTGACAATAAATTTTCCGAAATACACCCCAAATTTGAACTTAACGTACCTGAATCCCACGAAGTGCTGACCCAATTAGGGGAAAGGTGCGCAGTTGGTTGCGCAGTTGTGTTCTGTTCGAGCTGTCCGAGTGTGTTCGAGGGTCTTGCTAAGTCGTCTTGGAGTTCGCGCGCCCTTCGTGCTATTGTTACTGATGGTGATAGATGGATAATGATGGCGTTGGGATTTTCTTGAGTGGCACATCTTTGTTGCCGAGTTTCGTTGAAATCGGGCAAGCGTTTCCAAATCTTGCGTTCGAGGAATCCATGATAGATACAACCTGTGGGGCCTGTTCCAGGTGGTGTAAAGAAGATGAAGGAATGCAACTGAAAAATATTTCCGTAGAAAATATGTACAGATGATATTCGGCAAGTTAAAGTTTGCAAGGTATATTATAACGTTGGAACTTGAATTTGGGAATTTCGGGATGCAGATGTTGGTATATGTGGAACCCCATGATGGACGACTTGAATTCATAACGGAGGCAAATTGCAAGTAATTTCAATATTTATCCTTATTTTATGTACAATAGATAGGATGTATGCTGACAAATGTGCTCACATGAAAATTCCATCTAATAACAGTATAACAGATAGAATGTGTGTTTTATTCGGTGCAATAGCTACTTGTTTTGTGACTTGAAGTCCTTAGGTGTTTCCCGCTCATAAGCTTATTGCAGTGTGTAGATGTGCCCAAAAGTGAAGGGATGTGAATAGGTGCAATCCAACCTGAAGCCTACGTTTTATGCAGGAGACCTACCCAAGCAAGCGTGGGTGAATGTTGTGGCGGCGTCCCAGTGACGAGCACGAGTTAAATGCAGAATGACAGTGGAGAAGATTAGGAAATTATGGTAATTTAAAGAAAATTATTTGTATAAAAAGAATACTAAACTGTTGAGAAATGAACAGTTCTCATGTGTTAATAACATTAAAAAAACTATTATGAAATTGCAGAAAATGTTCGGGATTTTAAATTGTTGGAACATTAAAAAGTCTGATGTATACTCAAATTTAGAAAATTTGGAGGTGAAGATTGTGTGAAGTGGGGTCCTTCCATTCCTTGAACTAGGGTATGTGTTGACAACCTTGGAGATGTAGAAGGTGAATTAATTCATGTCATTGCCATTTCTACTCCACAGAAGTGGTTGGTGGCAGACTAAGAGATATTAGAACAGCAGCATTGGTCGAAATGTGTTTGGAGTGGGAGCTGTGAAAATAGATGTGAGAGGAATTATTGTAACATTACAAATCAAAGACTTGCCCATGTGTCACATAAAATTACTTTTGTCACTACTGTCCTGTAATGTTGTAAAACATAGACACAGCAATACAAATGTATTTTTTCAACTTTCAGATTGTTCCAAGGTTGTGGGAAAAGTAAGTGTGGTGAGTAGGGAAGCTGATGATATAACCAGGACCAGTTAGCAGTACCACTGCTATAGCCCTGTGAGCTGTAGAAGGCGGTGAAAAGTAACCCAATGCCTGGGGATATAACTGGGCCACCCAGTTCCTGGGGGACCTGACCTGCTGTCCCTTCAGGTTGGAGGAGACCCCAGATGGCTGCTTCACACTGAGGCAGACTGGCCGACTGACTGTGGGCCATAACATAACTTTGACTTGAGTTGCAGTTATTTGGAGAACTGCTGGGGTTCAGTCATTGTGAGCTGTTGCTGTTAGAAGCTGCTAGCTGAGGCTGTGGACAGTTCAGGAATGCTGAGGAATGGGAATGTCATCCGTTGGAAGCTGCTACCAAGCAATGGCAATGAAGACGTGACTATGGACACTATTGTTTGTGTAATAGCGAACTGTAAAGTGTAGTCATAGGCTGTATCAAAGCTTGAAATAAATTGAGTCATGAATCCAAAACTTGTCAATTTATCATGTGATTATATATATATAT